CCCTCAACATTTCCAATACCATTCTGAAGTGCTCCTCATGTTCTTTCTTGCTCTTTGAGTATACCAGTATATCATTATTGAATACAATGACAAAGAGATCCAGGTATGGCTTAAAAATCCCATTCATCAAGCTCATGAAAGCAGCAGGGGAATTCTTAAGCCCAAAAGACAAAAGCATAATGCCCATACCTGGTCCGAAAAAAGTAGTCTTGGGCACATTTGTTGCCCGTATTTTCAATTGATGATAACCAGATCTCAAATCGATTTTTGAGAAGGTACAAGCACCTTGTAACTGATCGAACAAATCATCGATGCGAGAAAGAGGATACTTGTTCTTAACAGTTACCTTATTCAGTTGTCTGTAGTCAATGCACATCCAAAAACTTCCATCCTTCTTCTTCACAAACAAAACGGGAGCACCCCAAGGGGATGCACTTGGTCTAATAAAGCCTTTGCTTAACAACTCTTGAAGTTGGGCCTTTAACTATCTTAACTCAGCGGGAGCCATCCTATAAGGGGGTATGGAAATGGGGTACCCGGCTCCAGATCAATGAAAAAGTCGATATCCCTATCCGGTGGCATACCAGGAAGGTCTGCAGGAAACACATCCAGAAACTCACGGACTATTGGAACCGACTCAATTGAAGGTACTTGGGTAGTATCATCCCTGAGGTGTGCCAAGAAAGCTAAACAACCCTTTCTAACCATTTTCTTAGCACGAAGGAAGGAGATGATACGAACTGGAGTGGAAGTGTAGTCACCCTTCCACACTAACGGATCTGTCCCAAGCTTGGCCAGTGTCACAGTTTTAGCATTACAATCTAAGATTGCAAAATTTGGAGAAAGCCAAGTCATACCCAGAATTACATCGAAGTCAACCATTTCTAAGATAACCAAGTCTACATGAGTATTTCTCCCCATAAAAGTCACAAGACAAGACCTATACACCTTTTCAACTATCACAGACTCACCCACCGGAGTAGAAACACGAATAGGCATGTCAAGCAATTCATAATGTAAATTAAGACCAGTAGCAAATGAGGAAGATACATATGAAAATGTGGATCCAGGATCAAATAATACAGAAGCCATGCAATCACAAACCAAAAGATTACCTGTGATAACATCATCAGATGTCTCCGCTTCAGACCTCCCAGGGAAAGCATAATAATGGGCCCTATCACCGGTCTGTCCATTGCCCCTACCATGTTGCGCTGTAGTAGTTCCTGTTTGCCCGTCACCCCGGCCGTTTTGATGACCACCATTACCTCGGCCACCACGTCCTCCCGAATAACGGCCTCTTTCATGACCACCTCTACCTCTGATTATTGGGGGTCTGTAACTCTGTTTTGGACAATTTCTCCTAATATGTCCAGTCTCTCCACATCTATAACAATCTCTGGATTCAAGCATGGGTCTTTGTGAGAACGACGGAGTCTGGAGATAACCTCCAAACTCAGAGAAATGTTGACCGGTCTGCGGTGGACCCCCTGCTATAGTCTGTAGTGAAGACTGAATAGGTCGGGCTGGATAACCTCCTGAACTCTGCCCTCTAGAGTAAGAACCATTAAACTCTCCTCCCTTACAAAACTTCTTAGTTGCTGATGCCATGTTGAAGTCATCTGGCTTCACTCCCTCCACTTCTATCACGAAATCTACCACCTCCTGAAAGGATTTTGCTGCAGCAGCTACCTGTAAGGCTAAAATCCATAAATCTGACCTCAACCCTTTCACGAAACGGTGAATCTGCTCTTGTGGACTGAAGCAAAGCTGGGTGGCATACCTAGATAATACACAAAACTTAGCCTCATACGCAGTAACCGACATCCTGCCTTGCTCTAGGATCAGGAACTCATCTCTCCTCCTATCCCTCAAGTCCGGGGTATATACTTCCCCATAAACAAGCTAGAGAATGATGCCCAAGTCATAGATGGTGACTGTGCTAGTTGACACTCGACATATGACCGCCACCACATTTTGGCGTTCCCCTGAAATTGATAGGTCACAAACTCAACACCAAATCGTTTTACTATGCCCATCTTGTGTAGTAGCTCATGACAATCAACCAGAAAATCATAGGCATCCTCAGATTCAGCACCCTCAGATTCAGCACCCTTGAAGATTGAAAAGTTCATGCTGATCACTTGTCATTATAGGCCCTGTAGTCAACTGAGGAAACGTGCCTATTTCCAATGAGGCATCCATGCGGGGGAGCCACAGCAGCTGCATGTTGTACTCCCGAAACCTGAGGCGCTGGTGCAGAAAACACTGGAGGTGTCTGGCCCTGATCAAATAACGCACTAAGATAAGCAAGAACCTGGTTAATCATCTCTGGGGTAGGTTGGGGTGGTAATTCCTCATTCTGCACTTGTTCATTCTCCCCTTCCTCACCCTCACTTACTACTTCCTCAGTCGGTGGAGGAGTCACCGCCCAGGTACCAGATGGGCCAGGTGCTTGTCCTCTTCCTCTAGAGGACGTCCTCCTGCGACCTCTACCACGGCCTCTTGTCACTACTTCTCTTCGAGCTACAACCCCAGTGGCTGGCTCAGACGCATCTTGTCTTGCCGGTGTTGGTGTTGGCGCGGTTGTTGCTCTAGTTCTAACCATCTGTGAAATAGAGTGAACATGGTCAGATACCAATTTGTATCACCTAGATACCGATTGGACCCAAGTAATAGCACGAAAGAAAGAAAGAATGGAATTTTCCTAAAGTCTTGTAGCCTCTCAAAGAAAAGTAAAGGCGTCCCCCTACCGTTCCTCAAGACTCTACTAGACTTGTTCTTATGTGATGAGACCAACAAACCTAATGCTCTGATACCAAGTTTGTCACGACCCAAAACGAGTCGCGAGTGACACCCACACTTATCCTACTATGTGAGCGAACCAACCAATCTAAACCCCAACATTTCAACCATAAATAATAGAATATAATGCGGAAGACTTAAAACTCATTAACGAAATCAATTAATAACTTCTAAAATTCAATGTTATTTATTATTCCCAAAATCTGGAATTCATCATCACAAGAACATCTATCCTCAAATTACTAAATCTATGAATGTCTAGGAAACTAAAACAAATACAAGAGATAGTCCATGTCCGAACTTCAAGGACATCAAGACATGAATGAGAGAGAATCCAATTTGAGCCACGAACAACAGCTCACCCTGAAATCTGACGTGGTAAAGACTGGCTAGAATTGCGGTTGAGTTGAAGACGACGGTACATTTGTTGCACTCCACAAATAACAAAGAGAAAACATACAAGTAGGGGTCAGTACAAGCACAAGTACTGAGTAGATATCATCGGCCAACTCAAAATAGAAAGCAATATATATCAGATAATATCATAAAATCAACTACAATACTCAACAGGTGGCAACAACAAGTACAAGAACCATTGGCAACAACACCAAGCACACCTATGAGGACTCAAGCCTCCACACCATGCTCATTTGTGAAATAGGTTCATTAAATTTTGAGTATATTACGATAATTCAAGATTCATTCTCTTTATTTCTCTTGTGTCGGAACGTGACACTCCGATCCCCTAATACTACGTGTCGGTTCATGACACCCGATCCCCTAATACTATGTGTCGGTTCGTGACACCCGATACCCTAATAATATGTGTCGGTTCGTGACACCGATCCACTAATACTATGTGTCGGTTTGTGACACCCGATCCACTAATACTATGTGTCGGTTCGTGACACCCATCCCCTAATACTATGTGTCAGTTCGTGACACCCGATCCCCTAATATTATGTGTCGGTTCGTGACACCCGATCCACTAATACTATGTGTCGGTTCGTGACACCCGATCCAATAATACTATGTGTCGGTTCATGACACCCGATCCCCTAATACTATGTGTCGGTTCGTGACACCCGATCCATTAACCTCATTCTTTTAGTTCATCAAGCCTTCTTTTATACCAAGACATCATCATTAATAGAGAGGTTTAAGGTTTAAGATTCAACAGCCTCTTCATGCTAATTCATTACAATTACATAATCACATCATGCAAGCATACAATTAAGCATATAGAAGACTTTACAATACTACCCAATACATACCATTCACTATTAAGAGTTTACTATGAAATAGCTTAAACCATAACCTACCTCCACCGAAGAATTGTGATCAAGCAAGCTATCCCCCAAAGTCTTTGCTTTCCTCTTCGTTCTCTCTTCTCTCGCTCGTTCGTCCCTCTCTTCCTCTTTCTGATTTTTCCTTATTCAAACCCCTTTTCTTTTACCCTAATTACCATATAATTAAGTATAAAAGATGGTAAAAATAACCCACTATTTATTCCAAGGTTGTCTCCTTTAACCCCCAAGTAATTGAATTATTAACATTAAATCACTAACTTTATAATTATAAGCAGGATAGTCCAAAACGCCCCTTAAAATATTTAACAGAAATCCGACCCAGTCAGGGTTACGCAGCCTGTGACGGCCCGTCGTGCCTGCGATGGTCCGTCCTGCTGCTTTCGTCACAAAGTTCAGAGATTGAATTTCACTAAAGGGCCTGTGACGGTTTGTCGTGCCCACGACGGTCCGTCCTGCCATGTCGTCGCGAAGTTCAGAGAGTTGTTCTCAATACCCAAATTTTCAGAATCTAAAGTGTTTTGGAATGAGACCCCCTCGACGGTCCGTCGTGCCCATGACGGTCCATCGTGGAATCCGTCGGCCCAGACAGTTATTACCAAAAATAAACTCTACTGCTCAAAACGACTAACAGGTCATTACAGAAAGTAATATATTCTTTGAGAAAGTACGTATCTTGATAGACACAAACACCTAGTACATGAACAATCCACAAAAAAGATATTGTGGGTTCAATTAAGCAATTAAGCGATACTGGAGTTATCATTACACGATCAAAGTGATTCAATTAAGAGATAGATTGATTATTTTTATGTAAAGTAGGGTATGTAAAGACTAAAATGGATTTGATAGACTTGAACTTAGTATTGTTATAGTGTCACGACCCATTTAGTCGTTTTAAATATTAGAGCTTTTTATTTCATAATATACTCTTTCAATATAATTTAAATAGGTATTTTGGACCATTCATAACTACAATTATAGAAATAATAGGATAGTTTTGATAACTTATTTAGTTGGTGGTTAAAGAATATAACATTAAAATTAATAGTAGGTCACTTTTAACACTTTTATAATTAGTAATATAATAAGTAGGGTTACTATTACTTGATTATCACAAACCGCTCGACATTCTTACTTTTGGTTCTCGGCGCCACCATTGCAGGTACAAGGAAAGTGTATAGGTAAAACTTGATGCAATTTCAATTTTTAATTTATATATGTATAATTGGGTGACATTAGTCTTTGTATTATTACTTTATAAGGCTTTTAGAAATTCAAGGGTGGGGGAACATAATGATTGCGTAAAAATTAATGGAAAATTTCCAAATAATTGAATTTAGATAGGTTTATTATGTTTTCAATTTACTTTCTGCACTAACGTATATAATTTAATAAATTATAGAGTTGGATCTTATGTTCTATTGGTCTAAAAATTGGGAAATGCAGTTTTTCATTAAATATTTGTGTGGTACGAGTAGGCACACGTAAGTATCATATGCTTAGGGTGCTAAGCAGTTGTTTTGATTTTAGTTATGTTATTTAGTTATTATGTTATAAATAGATTGAGATATATATATATATATATATTCATATAGGTGATTATTAGGTGTATCTTATTACTTGAATACAATTAAGGTTATGATAATGAGAGGAATGGAGACTTACCATTAGGCTTAAATTTTAGAAACTTGATTATAGATTTGGATGAGTTATCGAGTTTAGGTTACACATATATGGGTTCCTACGGACTCGTTTGTTTACAGATATTTCTTACTTGATAGATTGGAAACATTCTGACATTGAGGAAAATAAAGGCATTGGAGAAGTAGTTTTCTTGACTTCGATTCTTCGGTGGAGGTAGGTTATGGTTTATGCTATTTCATAGTAAACTCTTAATAGTGACTGATATGCATTGAATAATATTGTGAAGTTTTCTATGTACTTGATTGTGTGTTTTGCAATTGGTCTGAAATCCCAAGACCGTGGAATGTATAATCTTAAACCATCTCTATCGAAGTAATGCCTTGAATAAAGAAGGCTTGATGAAATATTATTATCGAATGAAAAAGTGGTGATATTAAATGATAAATTAATGGTATTTTTGGATCGGAGTTTCACGTTCCGACACGATATTCTTGCATCGGAGTGTCACATTCTGACACAGTATGCTTGGATCGGAGTGTCACGTTCTGACACGGTATTCTTGGATCGGAGTGTCACTTTCCGACACGATAATATTAAAGGAAAAACATGTTGAATTAATCGAAGATACTCAATATCAAAGAACTCAACTCCCAAAATGGTTTGGTTTGGAGGCATAAGTCCTCATGTATGATCTTGATACCGTTGACTTAATACGTGCTTACTTTATTGTTATTGACACTTGTTTATGTTGTTTGTTGCGTATAACATGTTAAGTGTTATAGTTGAATTCATACTATTATTCTTTGTATATTAGTTACTATTTTGGGTTGACGATGATACTTACTCAGTACATGTTGCCTCGTACTGAGCCCTACTTGTTTTCTTCTTTGTTTTCCTTTTATGAAATGCAGCGAGTGTACCTATGACTTCTGATTTCCCTCATCTCTAGCCAGCCTCCCGCATATCAAGTTCCAGGGTGAGCTATCCATTCAAGCTCGTGTTGGGTTCTCTCGGTCATGACACGATGTCTTATACTTTCAGACACATACCATTTTATTCTTTTATTTTGGTGTATTTGATTTTTTTTAGACTTCGTATTGGAGATTAGATGTCCTTGATGTGATGACTTTCAGGTTTTGGGAAATGATATTTAGTAACATCGAGTTTCCGCATTATACTTGTATTTTGTAAGTTAGGTTAAATTGGGTGGTTCGCCCACTTAAGAGGTTAAGTGTGGGTGACACTTGATATACCGTGGCTTCACGGTATTATTAATACTTTTTTCTTAAGTTTAGTGTGTCCAAAAGCCTTTTTGTGCTAATTTTTATATAAGTTTCTCTTTATTTTGCAAGAAATCTATCCAAAGATGAATGCAGAGATTTTGAGCGAAGAAATGCAGAAGAGACCACCTACGGAGCTTATGACGGTCCGTCGTGCTTGTGACGGTCCGTAGGTGGCAGCGTAGTGCAGCTGCTGAAGGAAGATGAGGAAGTCTGACCAAGTGTGGGGCTACGGAGTTCATGACGGTCTGTCGTGTCTATGACGGTCTGTCCTGCAGGTTCGTCATGAAGTTCAGAGAAGTAATTCCAGTACCCATATTCCAAGAGTTTAAGTGTTTTAGAACGAAGACCCTCGACGGACCGTTGTTCCTATGACGATCTGTCATACTTGCCGTCGAGAGTAATGAAGAGAGCAGTAGAAGAAATTTCATCAAGTATGGGACGACGGAGTTCATGACGGTCCGTCGTGACCACGACGATCCGTTGCGCTGTCCGTCGACCCAGCCGCGTTTTGACAGATTTTCAGCAAATAGAGTCCTTGTTTAATTAGGTTTTATTTCTATAAATAGTTCAAAAAACCTCATTTTTGAAGAGAGACTGGGTATTATTAGTTAGACTCTGGATCATTATTAGACTCTGTTTATTAGTGTTAGATTCTTGATTATCATTAGACTTTTTTGTGAGATTATTGATTACTTTGAGATTCTTGCAAGTGATTATTGGTGATTAATAAAGCAAACTTTCAGATTTTACTCTTTCTCATTGAAGTAAGTACATGAATTCTTATTTAATATATTTGAATATTGTGATTATGACTATGAGTAACTAAACTCCATAACTAGGGTTGTGGGAACCATAGGCAAATAATGAGATAAAACCTAACTAAAATAACAATTCTAGAATAGTGTCTTGCATGTATTAATAATTCTTTCGCTTAGAAGTCTTTTTAACGGATGTCCAACGTTAGAACTCGCCTTAATGCTACTTGCCGAACTAAGGAGGTAGATAATAGGAAAAAAATTATCAAATAGATTTAGTGTATACTATCTAATAGGCTAGTATTGATTGGTACGAGGTAATAACTTAGTCAAATATCGAATACGATGCTTAATATGAGGTAAAGATAAGGGTTAGGATAGCAACACACGTAGCCGGACCAAAGTGCGGAGTGAGATTTTTTAAATGCCGGACCAAGGATTTAGAAATACATAACTTATCACTTTGCATGCAAGATACTAGAAAAGAATTGTTATAGTTAGAATTATTAAGTTATGAACCTGTGGGGAACATGTAAACCCTAGATACTTTGATTAATTGATTAAAATTCAACATTCAAAGTTGTTAAGTGTCTCTTTCAATTTAGGTAGTTATTTTCATTCATTTAAAAATAGAAACCCCCCTTTTATTGTTTTTACTTTCCAAGGAAGTAATTGACTAAACACAAGTAATAATAGATTAAAGTTAAGTCTAGACTATTTTCCTTGTGGGAACGATCCCAACTAGTTGGGTTATTTCTTGACACGACCGCTTTACTTCTTATTTGAGAAGTAAGTTTGAGCAAACTTTCGGATTTTACTCTTTCTCATTGAAGTAAGTACATGAAATCTTATTTAATATATTTGAATATTGTGATTATGACTATGAGTAACTAAACTCCATAACTAGGGTTGTGGGAACCATAGGCAAATAATGAGATAAAACCTAACTAAAATAACGATTCTAGAATAGTGTCTTGCATGTATTAATAATTCTTTTGCACAGAAGTCTTTTTAAGGGATAGCCAACGTTAGAACTCGCCTTAATGCTACTTGCCGGACCAAGGAGGTAGATAATAGGAAAAGAATTATCAACATAGATTTAGTGTATACTATCTAACAGGCTAGTATTGATTGGTACGAGGTAATAACTTAGTCAAATATCAAATACGATGCTTAATATGAGGCAAAGATAAGGGTTAGGATAGCAACACACGTAGCCGGACCAAGGTGCGGAGTGAGATTTTCTAGATGCCGGACCAAGGATTTAGAAATACATAACTTATCACTTTGCATGCAAGATAATAGGAAAGAATTGTTATAGTTAGAATTATCAAGTTATGAACCTGTGGGGAACACGTAAACCCTAGTTACTTTGATTAATTGATTAAAATCCAACATTCAAAGCTGTTAAGTGTCTCTTTCAATGACGTTAGTTATTTTCATTCATTTAGAAACAGAAACCCCCCTTTTATTGTTTTTACTTTCCAAGGAAGTCATTGACTGAACAATAATAATAATAGATTGAAGTTAAGTCTAGACTATTCACTCAAAACTCATTTTGGGTCGTGACATATAGTTGGGCTAAAGTTTTGGACTTGAGAAAGTGGTAAAGTAAAGACTTAAGTTAATTTAAATTTAACAAAATATTTATATTTTATTTATGAATAATATACAAATAATTATAAAATTTATATATCTAATTTATCGATTTTGTTTGGTTATTTTTGTTGTTGATTTTTAGTAAAATCAAATCAAATAATATCAATTTTCAAAACTTTAAAACCAAATCAATCCAATTATCAATTTTTTTAATCGATTTGATTCGAATTGTAGTTCAGTTTGAATTTTTAACCTAACCATAAAAAAAAACCCTACTAAGAAACCCCCTATAACTATCCAAACTAAACTATAAGGTATTGGTAGAGATGTCAATATTACGTGGACCGATTCATTCGAGCTAGTTTATAAGGAATTCGAAATTTGACGGGCTATATCAGGCAGTCGATTACTTTAGTGGGCTAGAAAACATTAAGTTCAACCTATCATGTAACGATTGTTAACACCCAATTTTGACTTAAAATTTACCATATTCGTAACTTTTCAAGTTTTATCTATTCAATAGTTTAAAATATATTTTTTTCAATTTTAAATAAGTTTATCGATATTTATCTTTTGTTTCTCAAAATTTTAGGATTTTTATCATATAGTTTTAATTATTTTTTTTGTCACAATCATTTGAATATGTTGTGAATATATTTTCTTTGAATAAATTATTATTTCATGTTAAATTGCATTTTTTACAAGTCATTTTCTTTTATTCGTTACATTTGTTAATGTTATTTTTATTTGTTATTTTTATTAATATTCATTTTTTGTATTTTTAGTGTAGTCTAGAAATATATTTAAATAGGGACATGGTCGCATACACAAATATTTTATTAATATGTGGTTTGAACCCATTGTTTAAAGATAGATATTGTACTAAGGCGATTTTCAATTTTCTATTTAAACAATTTATTAGTCACTAAGTTAGTCGATGGTGGATAAGATTTTAAATAATGGGTGTAATTTTAAGAGGAAAATAAAAACAACTGAGATGTACATCTTCCTTCCCCTTTCCCCTTTTCGGTCTTGTTCTTTATACTTTGCAGGCATTCCTAGCGTGCTCCAAAATCCGACCAAACAACCTCCGAATGTTGCCTCGCCCAGGGGCGGATCTACTAAAGCTCAGGTGGTTCACCCGAACCCCCTCATTGAAAAAATTACATTGTATATATAAGGTGAGTTCTGATTTTAGACGTATAGATAGTAAAATGAACCCCCTCAACAACCAAAAGAGGAGCGTGGCTCACTGGTAAGGGGGTTCATTATTAAACTGCATGTTGCGAGTTGGATTCTTGTTCAGTGCAATAGGTTTTAACCTTTTTTTTCTTTGAAAAGGCTGAGATGGACTAAGTTTTGGGCTTAGAATACCCAATAATATGCTTCATTATTAAAAAAATTGATGATGTGGCTGAATTATAATTGGCTACGTGTCAAAAATAATTTTGCAAAACCATTGTTAAAAAATAATGATATGAATGAGCCTTTTCTTTAACGTTAATGGCATAAATGAATCAAACTTTTAACCGATGGCATAAATGAGACTTTTATGAAAGTTCAATGGCATATTTGAGCCTTTTCCCTTGTTTATATTATCGATGTTAGGCAAACCTTAAGTTGGTTTTGATTGTTTTGTTTTATTACTTGTGTATATCCCATGTTTGTTTTACTTATCCTCCTAAATTTGCAAAAATGATCTTAGTGGGGATCCACAATTGTAGATTTTGAAGGATGTCTAACACCTTCCCTCCAGAATCAGTTGAACCCTTTACCTAGAATCTTATGATTTCATAGATATTTGTATTTAATTAATTTTTGATTTCCTAGTTTTTCCTAAATTTAGGTGGCGACTCCTTAAATTTCTTTTAAAATTTAATTTAATTTAATAAATTGATTATTTTTTGAGTTACCACGACATTTCGCCTTATTTGAATAAAGTAAGAATGTTAACAACGATATGCTCCAGTCATTGTGGATAGACCATTAATGAAAAAAAATAAGGCCAGAAAGCTATTTGGATAGTGACTTAAAATTTTAGGCTACACCAGTTTCATACAGAATCTGAGCGCTGTGAGGTCTAGCGCAATCCGAAAATGGGTTGCTTGTTATATAAACGCTTGATTCATATTTCCTAGTTCCTAAGACATTCAGGAACTTATAAGTCCTTTTGGAATCAAATTTAGGTGAGTAAAACTATTAGTGTCGAACTTGGCGTGGAGGGGGGGGGGGAGGGGATAGCTTGAGATGCCAAGGGTCGAAGGTATGCTGCGAAATGAGAGATTTAGGGAGGGGGAGGGGGGAAGGTTTCAAGCCTCTGAATTTTGTGCATTTTGCTATAGGTGGTCACGCTTCTATAGAGGGCATTTAGAAGGCACGATAACAGGGGGAAAGCCGATATGTCGACGTCGCTATAGCGGGTCGAGCCGTTATAGCTGAGTAAAAAGGCATTTGATGTAGAAAAGTCTCAACCCTCTTATTTTCTACTACTTTCTTCTGTAAATTGAGGGGGCGGTTTAGGACATATTCAACACG